GTCTGTTGGTAATCCCCCTTATGTATGCTGGGAGGCAGTTGAACAGTCTTGGGCCCACAACACTTACTGTGTTGTATCTTATCGTGCTCGTGGCGCCCCTGCTCTTCACTGGGGGAACGTTGCACCGTCTACAGAGTCTTTTACTTTCATACGGAGTGATTTTCGTCAGCAAGTTTGGTATTAGCTTGTACAGTCACTATCATGCCCGGGCATCTCGGGCAGACTAATCCTAGTACATAATAACAACTTAAACTTAAATCTAGACGAGACAATAGTGGTTTAAGTTTTATTACAATGTTAAGTTTTAATACTAATGTGAGGTAGTCGAGGTGAATGTTTACAAGAATAATCTTGAAGTCGCACATAAAAACATTACAATTAATGGTTCAACGGTAATATTTCACGGATTGGCAGATGTTTAACAGACTAGATGTTATATAACTAATGTTAATAGATGTTATATAACTAATGTTAATAGACATTATATAACTAATGTTAATAGATGTTATATAACAGATGTTAATAGACGTTATATAACTAATGTTAATAGATGTTATATAACTAATGTTAATAGATGTTATATAACTAATGTTAATAGATGTTATATAACTAATGTTAATAGATGTTATATAACTAATGTTAATAGATGTTATATAACTAATGTTAATAGATGTTATATAACTAATGTTAATAGATGTTATATAACTAATGTTAGGAAACATTGTTAAAAACATTGTTAAAACATTATTAAAACATTATTAAAACATTGTTAAAACATTATTAAAACATTGTTAAAACATTATTAAAACATTATTAAAACATTGTTAAAACATTATTAAAACATTGTTAAAACATTATTAAAACATTGTTAAAACATTATTAAAACATTGTTAAAACATTATTAAAACATTAAAACATTATTAAAACATTATGAAAACATTATTAAAACATTATTAAAACATTGTTAAAACATTATTAAAACATTGTTAAAACATTGTTAAAACATTATTAAAACATTATTAAAACATTGTTAAAACATTATTAAAACATTGTTAAAACATTATTAAAACATTGTTAAAACATTGTTAAAACATTATTAAAACATTGTTAAAACATTATTAAAACATTATTAAAACATTATTAAAACATTATGAAAACATTATTAAAACATTATTAAAACATTGTTAAAACATTATTAAAACATTGTTAAAACATTGTTAAAACATTATTAAAACATTATTAAAACATTGTTAAAACATTATTAAAACATTATTAAAACATTATGAAAACATTATTAAAACATTATTAAAAAAATTGTTAAAACATTATTTAAAACATTGTTTAAAACATTATTAAAACATTGTTAAAACATTATTAAAACATTATTAAAACATTATTAAAACATTATGAAAACATTATTAAAACATTATTAAAACATTGTTAAAACATTATTAAAACATTGTTAAAACATTGTTAAAACATTATTAAAACATTATTAAAACATTGTTAAAACATTATTAAACATTTTAAAAACATTATGAAAACATTATTAAAACATTATTAAAACATTGTTAAAACATTATTAAAACATTATTAAAACATTATTAAAACATTGTTAAAACATTATTAAAACATTGTTAAAACATTATTAAAACATTGTTAAAACATTATTAAAACATTGTTAAAACATTATTAAAACATTATTAAAACATTATTAAAACATTATTAAAACATTGTTAAAACATTATTAAAAACATTGTTAAAACATTATTAAAACATTATTAAAACATTATTAAAACATTATTAAAACATTATTAAAACATTGTTAAAACATTATTAAAACATTATTAAAACATTATTAAAACATTGTTAAAAACATTATTAAAACATTATTAAAACATTATTAAAACATTGTTAAAAACATTATTAAAACATTATTAAAACATTATTAAAACATTATTAAAACATTATTAAAACATTGTTAAAACATTATTAAAACATTATTAAAACATTGTTAAAACATTATTAAAACATTAAAACATTATTAAAACATTATTAAAACATTGTTAAAACATTGTTAAAACATTGTTAAAACATTATTAAAACATTATTAAAACATTATTAAAACATTGTTAAACATTGTTAAAACATTGTTAAAAACATTATTAAAACATTATTAAAACATTATTAAAACATTAAAACATTATTAAAACATTATTAAAACATTATTAAAACATTATTAAAACATTGTTAAAAATATTAAAATCATCGCTAAAAATATTGTTAAAAATATTGTTAAAAATATTCAGAAACTAAAAAAAAAGCTGAAAAAGTTAAAAAACATTATTAGACCCGAGAACATTAGACCCGAGAACATTAGACCCGAGAACATTAGACCCGAGAACATTAGACCCGAGAACATTAGACCCGAGAACATTAGACCCGAGAACATTAGACCCGAGAACATTAGACCCGAGAACATTAGACCTGGGGGTAACCAGGGTGACAGACCCTGGGGGTAACCAGGGTGACAGACCCCGGGGGTAACCAGGGTGACCGACCCCGGGGGTAACCAGGGTGACAGACCCCGGGGGTAACCAGGGTGACAGACCCCGGGGGTAACCAGGGTGACAGACCCCGGGGGTAACCAGGGTGACAGACCCCAGGGGTAACCAGGGTGACAGACCCCGGGGGTAACCAGGGTGACAGACCCCAGGGGTAACCAGGGTGACAAACCCCGGGGGGTAACCAGGGTGACCGACCCGGGGGTAACCAGGGTGACAGACCCCGGGGGTAACCAGGGTGACAGACCCTGGGGGTAACCAGGGTGACAGACCCTGGGGGTAACCAGGGTGACAGACCCCAGGGGTAACCAGGGTGACAGACCCTGGGGGTAACCAGGGTGACAGACCCCAGGGGTAACCAGGGTGACAGACCCCGGGGGTAACCAGGGTGACAGACCCTGGGGGTAACCAGGGTGACAGACCCTGGGGGTAACCAGGGTGACAGACCCAGGGGTAACCAGGGTGACAGACCCCGGGGGTAACCAGGGTGACAGACCCTGGGGGTAACCAGGGTGACAGACCCCGGGGGTAACCAGGGTGACAGACCCCGGGGGTAACCAGGGTGACAGACCCCGGGGGTAACCAGGGTGACAGACCCCGGGGGTAACCAGGGTGACAGACCCCGGGGGTAACCAGGGTGACAGACCCCAGGGGTAACCAGGGTGACAGACCCTGGGGGTAACCAGGGTGACAGACCCTGGGGGTAACCAGGGTGAGACCCCGGGGGTAACCAGGGTGACAGACCCTGGGGCTAACCAGGGTGAGACCCTGGGGGTAACCAGGGTGACAGACCCCGGGGGTAACCAGGGTGACAGACCCCGGGGGGTAACCAGGGTGACAGACCCCGGGGGGTAACCAGGGTGACAGACCCGGGGTAACCAGGGTGACAGACCCGGGGGTAACCAGGGTGACAGACCCCGGGCGGTAACCAGGTTTACAGACCCCGGGGGTAACCAGGGTGACAGACCCCAGGGGTAACCAGGGTGACAGACCCTGGGGGTAACCAGGGTGACAGACCCCAGGGGTAACCAGGGTGACAGACCCTGGGGGTAACCAGGGTGACAGACCCCAGGGGTAACCAGGGTGACAGACCCCAGGGGTAACCAGGGGGGACAGACCCCCGGGGTAACCAGGGTGACAGACCCAGGGGTAACCAGGGTGACAGACCCTGGGGGTAACCAGGGTGACAGACCCAGGGGTAACCAGGGTGACAGACCCCAGGGGTAACCAGGGTGACAGACCCCGGGGGTAACCAGGGTGACAGACCCTGGGGGTAACCAGGGTGACAGACCCTGGGGGTAACCAGGGTGACAGACCCTGGGGGTAACCAGGGTGACAGACCCCGGGGGTAACCAGGGTGACAGACCCCGGGGGTAACCAGGGTGACAGACCCCGGGGGTAACCAGGGTGACAGACCCCGGGGGTAACCAGGGTGACAGACCCCAGGGGTAACCAGGGTGACAGACCCTGGGGGTAACCAGGGTGACAGACCCTGGGGGTAACCAGGTGACAGGGCCCTGGGGGTAACCAGGGTGAGACCCTGGGGGTAACCAGGGTGACCGACCCCGGGGGTAACCAGGGTGACAGACCCCGGGGGTAACCAGGGTGACAGACCCCGGGGGTAACCAGGGTGACAGACCCCGGGGGTAACCAGGGTGACAGACCCCGGGGGTAACCAGGGTGACAGACCCCAGGGGTAACCAGGGTGACAGACCCTGGGGGTAACCAGGGTGACAGACCCCAGGGGTAACCAGGGTGACAGACCCTGGGGGTAACCAGGGTGACAGACCCCAGGGGTAACCAGGGTGACAGACCCCAGGGGTAACCAGGGTGACAGACCCCAGGGGTAACCAGGGTGACAGACCCCAGGGGTAACCAGGGTGACAGACCCCAGGGGTAACCAGGGTGACAGACCCCGGGGGTAACCAGGGTGACAGACCCTGGGGGTAACCAGGGTGACAGACCCTGGGGGTAACCAGGGTGACAGACCCTGGGGGTAACCAGGGTGACAGACCCTGGGGGTAACCAGGGTGAGACCCTGGGGGTAACCAGGGTGACAGACCCTGGGGGTAACCAGGGTGACAGACCCTGGGGGTAACCAGGGTGACAGACCCTGGGGGTAACCAGGGTGACAGACCCTGGGGGTAACCAGGGTGACAGACCCTGGGGGTAACCAGGGTGACAGACCCTGGGGGTAACCAGGGTGACAGACCCTGGGGGTAAAAAAATTTGAGTCAGGGTACCTTTACATGTTGAATTTCTTGTTGAAAATCATGACTGACATCATACTGGTCCATGACTGACATCATACTGGTCCATGACTGACATCATACTGGTCCATGACTGACATCATACTGGTCCATGACTGACATCATACTGGTCCATGACTGACATCATACTGGTCCATGATGACTCTAGGTCCATACTGACATCATACTGGTCCATGACTGACATCATACTGGTCCATGACTGACATCATACTGGTCCATGACTGACATCATACTGGTCCATGACTGACATCATACTGGTCCATGACTGACATCATACTGGTTCATGACTGACATCATACTGGTCCATGACAGACATACTGGTCCATGACTGGCTTCATACTGGTCCATGTCTGACATCATGCTGGACCATGTCTGACATCATGCTGGACCATGTCTGACATCTTGCTAGTTCATGACCTTTATAAGATTTTTCTGTAAAGGAACCTTCAGTTGAGCTATGTGTAGAAAGAGGTTTGGTAACAAGTTTATTTATTTATTTATGTCTTTTCAAACAGTACGTTGAGAGTATATACAGTGGACCCCCGGTTTACGATCAGCTCCCAATGCGACCAATTATGTAAGTGTATTTATGTAAGTGCGTTTGTACGTGTATGTTTGGGGGTCTGAAATGGACTAATCTACTTCACAATATTCCTTATGGGAACAAATTCGGTCAGTACTGGCACCTGAACATACTTCTGGAATGAAATAATATCGTAAACCGGGGGTCCACTGTATTTACAATAATGGGTTGCAATACAAAGAGCCTCTATTATGCCTAGGCATTATGGGCCGACTTAACATTATTGGCTTACTGACCACTTAACACTAAGGAGTATATCATAGTTGTACAGTAGAATATTAATTATATCATAGTTGTACAGTAGATTATTAATTATAAGTGAATTTAATTTATATAAGACAAAAGATATACTCATATGTTCAAAAAATGATTCAATTATATTCCTGTCAACAATGGATAAAAGGTTCGGAAGTAATTGTTGAAGTTATGATATGGGAATACATATTGAGTATGTGAGTACTGAGTATTTAGCATTTAGTCTAGGGTGATTCAGTGGCTTTTGAGAAGTCTTAAAAAAAAGAGGATAAATAAGTATACAAGGTATGATATAGCATGTAATGAAAGTAGTTTTTTAGATTATGTATTGGTGGATAAAAGATTGATGGGTAGGCTTCAGTATGTACATGTTTATAGAGGGGCAACTGATATATCAAATCATGCTACAGTTAGAGTAAAACGCAGATGGGACAAAAGGAAAATGGAAACAACAAGTAAGAGAGAGGTGAAAGTGTATAAACTTAGGGTGAGATATAAGCAACTATTGGCAGAAAGATGGGCTAGTAGAAGTATGAGTAGTGGGGGTGGGGGAGTGAAGAGGGTTGGAATAGTATATGGGGCAGAAGTTTGTGGTTATAGGAGAGTGGGAGCAGGAGGAAAGAGGAGTGATTGGTGGAATGATGAGGTAAAGGTTGTGATAAGAGAAAAAGTTAGCTTATGAGAGGTTTTTACAAAGCAGAAGTGTTATAAGAAGAGCAGAGTCTATGGAGAGTAAAAGAAAGGTGAAGAGAGTGGTGAGAGAGTGCAAAAGGAGAGCAGATGACAGTGGGAGAGGCACTGTCAAGAAATTTTAATGAAAACAAAAAAAAAAATTTGGAGTGACAAACAAATTAAGAACGCCTAGGGAACGAATGGATTTGTCAGTTAAAAACAGAGTAGGGGAGTTAATAGATGGGGAGCTGGAGGTACTGGATAGATGGCAGCAATATTTTGAGGCACTTTTAAATGTCAATGAAGAAAGGGAGGCGGTCATTTCATGCACTGGCCAGGGAGGTATACCATCTTTTAGGAGTGAAGAAGAGCAGGATGTGAGTGTGGGAGAGGTACGTGAGGTATTACGTAGAATGAAAGGAGGTAAAGCAACAGGAACTGATGGGATCATGACAGAAATGTTAAAAGCAGGGGGGATATAGTGTTGGAGTGGTTCGTACTTTTGTTTAATAAATGTATGGAAGAGGGGAAGGTACCTAGGGATTGGCAGAGAGCATGTATAGTCCCTTTATATAAGGGGAAGGGGACAAAAGAGACTTAAAATTATAGGGGAATAAGCTTTACTTAGCATACCAGGAAAAGTGTACAGTAGGGTTATTGAAAGAATTAGAGGCAAGACATAGAATAGGACTGTGGATGAGCAAGGAGGTTTTAGAGTGTGTAGAGGATGTGTAGATCAAGTGTTTACATTGAAGCATATATGTGAACAGTATTTAGATAAAGGTAGGGAAGTTTTCATTGCATTTATGGATTGAGAAAAGGCATATGATAGGGTGGACAGGGAAGCAATGTTGCAGATGTTGCAAGTACAGTGGACCCCCGGTTAACGATATTTTTTCACTCCAGAAGTATGTTCAGGTGCCAGTACTGACCGAATTTATTCCCATAAGGAATATTGTGAAGTAGATTAGTCCATTTCAGACCCCCAAACATACACGTACAAACGCACTTACATAAATACACTAACATAATTGGTCGCATTCGGAGGTAATCGTTATGCGGGGGTCCACTGTATATGGAATAGGTAGTAAGTTACTAAATGCTGTAGAGAGTTTTTATGAGGATAGTGAGGCTCAGGTTAGGGTGTGTAGAAGAGAGGGAGAATACTTCCCGGTAAAAGTAGGTCTTAGACAGGGATGTGTAATGTCACCATGGTTGTTTAATATATTTATAGATGGGGTTGTAAAAGAAGTAAATGCTAGGGTGTTCGGGAGAGGGGTGGGATTAAATTATGAGGAATCAAATACAAAATGGGAAGTGACACAGTTGCTTTTTTGCTGACGATACTGTGCTTATGGGAGATTCTAAAGAAAAGTTGCAAAGGTTAGTGGACGAGTTTGGGAGTGTGTGTAAAGGTAGAAAGTTGAAAGTGAATATAGATAAGAGTAAGGTGATGAGGGTATCAAATGATTTAGATAATGAAAAATTGGATATCAAATTGGGGAGGTGGAGTATGGAAGAAGTGAATGTTTTCAGGTGTTTGGGAGTTGATGTGTCAGTGGATAAATTTATGAAGGATGAGGTTTACTATAGAAGTGATGAATGAAAAAAGGTGAGTGGTGGGTCGAGATATATGTGGAGACAAAAAAACAATATCAATGGAGGCAAAGAAGGGAATGTATGAAAGTTTAGCAGTACCAACACTTATATGGGTGTGAAGCTTGGGTTGTAAATGCTGCAGCGAGGAGGCAGTTGGAGGCAGTGGAAATGTCCTGTCTAAGGGCAATGTGTGGTGTAAATATTATGCAGAGAATTCGGAGTGTGGAAATTAGAAGGTGTGGAGTTAATAAAAGTATTAGTCAGAGGGCTGAAGAGGAGTTATTGAGGTGGTTTGGTCATTTAGAGAGAATGGATCAAAGTAGAATGACATGGAGAGCGTATAAATCTGTAGGGGAAGGAAAGTGGGGTAGGGGTCGTCCACGAAAAGGTTGGGTGTACATGCCAAAACCCCCTCTGTATGCAGAGCATTTTGGGCAAACTTAATATTAACTGAAGATTAGGAACGCAATAACAGGTTATTATTTGGATGCTGATGAGTTACAGTGAGTACCTTAATTACAGTTTAAATTTAGCTTATAAAACTTACATAATTACAAACAGTGGTACAGTTCGGGTTAATTCATAATATGGAAATATTTCAATGGAACAGCTTAAAAGCAGTTTACAATAAAATAATTATGTGGACATTGATGTGTTACAGTGGGTACAGTAATTACAGTTTAAAATTGATGTATAAAACTGACATTACAAATGATACAAATGGGATTAATATACAATATGGGTATATTTTGTAGGTAGTAGGTTGGTAGACAGCAACCACCCAGGGAGGTACTACCATCCTGTGGTAGTAGGTTGGTAGACAACAACCACCCAGGGAGGTACTACCATCCTGCCAAGTGAGTGTAAAACGAAAGCATGTAATTGTTTTACATGATGGTAGGATTGCTGGTGTCTTTTGTCTGTCTCATAAATAGGCAAGATTACAGGCATGTCTTGCTACTTCTACTTACATTTAGGTCACACTACACATACATGTACACGTTTATTTATACACACACTCATCGGAGTTTTCTTTGATTTTATCTTAATAGTTCTTGGTCTTATTACTTTTCCTTTTATATCCATGGGGAAGTGGAATAAGAATCTTTCCTCCGTAAGCCATGCGTGTTGTAAAAGTCAACTAAAATGCCGGGAACAATGGGCTAGTAACCCCTTTTCCTGTAAAGATTACTAAAAAGAATAAGAAGAAGAAAATTGTCAAAGTGGGAAGTCTGAATGTGCGTGGATGTTGTGCAAATGATAAGAAAGAGATGATTGTGGATGTTATGAATGAGAAGAAGCTGGATGTCCTGGCTTTAAGTGAAACAAAGCTGAAGGGGGTGGGAGAGTTTCAATGGAGAGGAATAAATGGGATTAGGTCAGGGGTTTCAAATAGAGTTAGAGCTAAAGAAGGAGTAGCAATAATGTTGAAGGATAAGCTATGGCAGGAAAAGAGAGAATACGAATGTATAAATTCAAGGATTATGTGGAGTAAAATAAAGATTGGATGTGAAAAGTGGGTTATAGTAAGTGTGTATGCACCTGGAGAAGAGAGAAGTGTAGAGGAGAGAGAGAGATTCTGGGAAATGTTGAGTGAATGCGTGGGGAGTTTTGAATTAAGTGTGAGAGTAATGGTGGTTGGGGATTTAAATGCTCAAGTGGGTAAAAATGTTATGGAGGGAGTAGTAGGTAAATTTGGGGTGCCAGGGGTAAATGTAAATGGGGAGCCTTTAATTGAGCTATGTGTAGAAAGAAATTTGGTAATAAGTAATACATATTTTATGAAAAAGAGGATAAATAAATATACAAGGTATGATGTAGCACGTAATGAAAGTAGTTTGTTAGATTATGTATTGGTGGATAAAAGGTTGATGGGTAGGATCCAGGATGTACATGTTTATAGAGGGGCAACTGATATATCGGATCATTATTTAGTTGTAGCTACAGTTAGAGTAAGAGGTAGATGGGAAAAGAGGAAGGTGGCAACAACAAGTAAGAGGGAGGTGAAAGTGTATAAACTAAGGGAGGAGGAAGTTCGGGTGAGATATAAGCGACTATTGGCAGAAAGGTGGGCTAGTGCAAAGATGAGTAGTGGGGGGGGGGGGGGGGTTGAAGAGGGTTGGAATAGTTTTAAAAATGCAGTATTAGAATGTGGGGCAGAAGTTTGTGGTTATAGGAGGGTGGGGCCCGGAGGAAAGAGGAGTGACTGGTGGAATGATGAAGTAAAGGGGTGTGATAAAAGAAAAAGGTAGCTTATGAGAGGTTTTTACAAATCAGAAGTGTTATAAGAAGAGCAGAGTATATGGAGAGTAAAAGAAAGGTGAAGAGTGGTGAGAGAGTGCAAAAGGAGAGCAGATGATAGAGTGGGAGAGGCACTGTCAAGAAATTTTAATGAAAATAAGAAAAAATTTTGGAGTGAGTTAAACAAGTTAAGAAAGCCTAGGGAAAGTATGGATTTGTCAGTTAAAAACAGAGTAGTGATGGTGGTAGAGGGTTGAGCTACAAGAGCTCTCTGGACAGTTTTTGCACAAGGCTACAGAGACTCAAGCTGGTCCTAGTGCCATTTAGAAATTTAGTAATTTTAGCATACATACAGAGGTACAAAAAATACAGGTAAGAGCAGCATGCCAAAGCCACTTATATGCATAGCATTACGGGCTGGCTTAAAATTAACTTAAGATTAACTAAGCAATGATGTAATCAGTGATAAAACTTTATTGTAAACAGATAACTATAAAGCACAAGTGAGTATTACAAAGACAGGTCATATGGTTGCATGCATTGCTGTACATTCAGTAGAATGGAGTATTCTGTTAGGTAGTGTATTTAAAAAAAAAATAAAGTTGGGTTTTTAACATTGTGTGATATAATTGTGAGAAACATTTAGGATATACAATTTATAAGGTTCAGTTATTCAGTATTTATTTGGTTTTGAGTGAGTAAGTGAACTTTGAGAAGAGACTTGAATTTATAAACAGGTAGTGTTTCTTTTATATTTACAGGTAATGAATTCCAGATTTTAGGGCCTTTTATGTGCATTGAGTTTTTGCATAGCGTGAGATGGACACGAGAAACATCAAAGAGTGATCTGTGCCTTGTGTTATGGTCATGTGTTCTGTTGAGGTTGGCAAGATGTTTGAGGAGAGGGTTAATATCAGAGTTAAGTGTTCTATGTATGTAATAGGTGCAATAATAAGTATGGATGTTTTGTATGGTGAGTAGGTTGAGTGTTTTGAATATTGGTGGAGTGTGTTGCCTGTAGTAAGAAGGGAAGTAACTCTGGATAAGTACTGGTACCTAAAAGCTTTATGGAAGGGAATTTCCCTTCCAAACAATAGTGTAACTTCTCCATCCTCTCCTCTCCTCCTGTCTTCCATACCTGGAGTTTACCTGAGAGGGTTTCGGGGGTCAATGCTCCGACAGCTTGGTCTGAGACCAGGCCTCGTGGTGGATCAGGGTCTGATCAACCAGGCTGTTACTGCTGGCCACACACAAGCTGACATAAAAACCACATCCCAGTTGATCAGGTACTGACGTTAGGTGTCATTCCAATGCCTTCTTAAAGCCAGTCAGGGGTCTATTAGTAATCCCCCTTATGTGTGCTGGGAGGCAGTTGAACCAACAAGTCTTCAATAAAGGTGTCATATTATTGTTTTATTATTGATTTCTTATTCTTTTCTGTATATAAATCTATATTTAATCTATAAAAAATAATTTTTGCTAATACTTTTGGGTGTCTGGAATGGTTTTTAAATTCGTGAATTTCGACTTTCGGCCGACTCTCCAGAAAAGATTAATCACGAAATTTGGGGGTCCTCTGTATTATTATTGTTATTACTGGGGAGCGCTAAACCCCGAGGTATGCGACAGTGGGACAATCAAGTCTGATCCAGGCAACTCCAGTTCCCTGGATCAAAAGCGCCCCAATCACAGGCTGTTTATTATAAACATGGGAAAACGCTAAACCCATAGGATTATACAGTGCCTGTGGGGCTTATTTCTGGGAACTGGAGCACAAATCCAATTCCCTAGATCAAGAGCCCCAGCATCAAGGAACCTCCCTTGAGATCACAGGCTGTGCTTATCAGTATCAAGGAACCCCCTTGATAGGGCTGTCCATGACACTAATGGGAGCGCTAGACCTGTACAGGCCAGTGCCAGGGGTGACTCCAATACCTTGGATCAAGAGCCCCAACATCAAGGGCCTTCCCTTGATGAGGGTTCCATAATGCTGAAGTGCTAAACCCATATGTGCTAGTTCCTGGGCAATGGCAATTTATATATGGGCAATTTGAAATGGTCAAGTAAAATGGGCAATATGTAAAATAATTTGTAAATGGTCAATGAGTAAAATGGGCAATCTGCAAATGGGCAATTCATAAATAGTCAATTTGTGAATGGGCAATTATTAAAATGGACAACTTGTAAATGGACAACTTGTAAATGGTCAACTTGTAAATGGTCAACTTGTAAATGGTCAACTTGTAAATGGTCAACTTGTAAATGGTCAACTTGTAAATGGACAACTTGTAAATGGACAACTTGTAAATGGACAACTTGTAAATGGTCAACTTGTAATGGTCAACTTGTAAATGGTCCAACTTGTAAATGGTCAACTTGTAAATGGGCAACTTGTAAATGGGCAACTTGTAAATGGGCAACTTGTAAAATGGGCAACTTGTAAATGGGCAACTTGTAAATGGGCAACTTGTAAATGGGCAACTTGTAAATGGGCAACTTGTAAATGGGCAACTTGTAAATGGGCAACTTGTAAATGGGCAACTTGTAAATGGGCAACTTGTAAATGGGCAACTTGTAAATGGGCAACTTGTAAATGGGCAACTTGTAAATGGGCAACTTGTAAATGGTCAACTTGTAAATGGTCAACTTGTAAATGGGCAACTTGTAAATGGGCAACTTGTAAATGGGCAACTTGTAAATGGGCAACTTGTAAATGGGCAACTTGTAAAATGGGTAATGTGTAAAATAGGCAATTTATATATGACCAATGAGTAAAATGGTCAATTTGTAAATGAGCAATGAGTAACAATGGGCAATTTATAAATGGGCAATGGGTAAAATGGGCAACAAGTAAAAATGTGCAATTAGTAAATATAGACAAGTAAAAATGGGCAATAAGTGAAATGGGCAATAAGTAATAATGGAAAATAATTAAAAATGGAAAATAATTAAAAATGGGCAATAATTAAAAATGGGCAATAAGTAAAATGGGCAATAAGTAAAATGGGCAATAAGTAAAATGGGCAATAAGTAAAATGGGCAATAAGTAAAAATGGGCAATAAGTAAAAATGGGCAATAAGTAAAAATGGGCAATAAGTAAAAATGGGCAATAAGTAAAAATGGGCAGTAAGTAAAATGGGCAGTAAGTAAAATGGGCAATAAGTAAAATGGGCAATAAGTAAAATGGGCAATAAGTAAAATGGGCAATAAGTAAAAATGGGCAGTAAAATGGGCAATAAGTAAAATGGGCAATAAGCAAAATGGGCAATAAGTAAAAATGGGCAGTAAGTAAAATGGGCAGTAAGTAAAATGGGCAATAAGTAAAATGGGCAATAAGTAAAAATGGGCAATAAGTAAAATGGGCAATAAGTAAAATGGGCAATAAGTAAAAATGGGCAGTAAGTAAAATGGGCAGTAAGTAAAATGGGCAATAAGTAAAATGGGCAATAAGTAAAATGGGCAATAAGTAAAAATGGGCAATAAGTAAAATGGGCAATAAGTAAAATGGGCAATAAGTAAAAATGGGCAGTAAGTAAAATGGGCAATAAGTAAAATGGGCAGTAAGTAAAATGGGCAGCAAGTAAAATGGGCAATAAGTAAAATGGGCAATAAGTAAAATGGGCAGTAAGTAAAATGGGCAGTAAGTAAAATGGGCAATAAGTAAAATGGGCAATAAGTAAAATGGGCAGTAAAATGGGCAGTAAGTAAAATGGGCAATAAGTAAAATGGGCAATAAGTAAAATGGGCAGTAAGTAAAATGAGCAGTAAGTAAAATGGGCAATAAGTAAAATGGGCAGTAAGTAAAATGAGCAGTAAGTAAAATGGGCAATAAGTAAAATGGGCAGTAAGTAAAATGAGCAGTAAGTAAAATGGGCAATAAGTAAAATGGGCAATAAGTAAAAATGGGCAATAAGTAAAAATGGAAATAAAATGGGCAATAAGTAAAATGGGCAATATGTAAAATGGTCAATAAGTAAAATGGGCAATAAGTAAAATGGGCAATAAGTAAAATGGTCAATAAGTAAAATGGGCAATAAGTAAAAATGGAAATAAAATGGGCAATAAGTAAAATGGTCAATAGTAAAATGGGCAATAAGTAAAATGGGCAATAAGTAAAATGGTCAATAAGTAAAATGGGCAATAAGTAAAAATGGAAATAAAATGGGCAATAAGTAAAATGGTCAATAAGTAAAATGGGCAATAAGTAAAATGGGCAATAAGTAAAATGGTCAATAAGTAAAATGGGCAATAAGTAAAAATGGAAATAAAATGGGCAATAATTAAAATGGAACAAGTAAAATGGGCAATGGGTGCCAGGAGCTCCAAGTGCCTGGATCAAGAGCTCCAAGTGCCTGGATCAAGAGCCTCGGATATTTACCTCAACATTAATTTCTCTCTGGAAGTTGAACATCAAATCTGAAAAATAAAAAATCATTCTTATATTTATGGATAAAATCAATTTCCCAGAAATTTCCTACATAATTTGCATATATACATCATCAGTGAAGATCACAATGTATATTCTACCTTATAAAAACCATATTAAACATTAACCAAAGGTTTTTTTCAAAGAAATTGTGAAAAATTTGGGCAGCAGTGAAGCGCACTTCCTACCTGGATGAAGTGCCGGAGGCGACTGAGGGGGAAGAAAACCCGCGAACGTCCTACACCTCAACCTGTCACCTGATTGGTTAATTCTGAGTGACCTGACTACTGATGATTGGCTGCTGGATGTTGTTTCCCTGTTTATCTCCTTCAGATATTAAAACTGCATCCTAATTGGCTGGATTTTCCCGCCTGCAAAAATAACTGAGTTTTAATTGGTGGCGGCACCATAATGCTGGACATTTTTTATATTAAATGAAAAAAATAGTGAGCCAAAAAATTTCTTCTTTAACTCAAGTCTTAAATAAAAGTCGAGTTCTAATTGGCTGGATTATCCCGCCTCAGAAAAGAGCTGAGTTTTTATTGGTTGTTGCATCACAATGCTGGAAATATTTCTTAGTAAATGACAAAAATGTGACCCAAAACAAAGATTTTTGTTGAAGTTAAGGCAAAATAAAGGAAAAATTGTTCATACATTTATATGAACATTGTAGGCTTCATGTTCACTATGTAGGCTTCATGTTCACTATGTAGGCTTCATGTTCACTGTGTAGGCTTCATGTTCACTGTGTAGGCTTCATGTTCACTATGTAGGCTTCATGTTCACTATGTAGGCTTAGTTCACTGTTAGGCTCATGTTTCACTGTGTAGGCTTCATGTTCACTGTGTAGGCTTCATGTTCACTATGTAGGCTTCATGTTCACTATGTAGGTTTCATGTTCACTATGTAGGCTTCATGTTCACTGTGTAGGCTTCATGTTCACTGTGTAGGCTTCATGTTCACTATGTAGGCTTCATGTTCACTATGTAGGCTTCATGTTCACTGTGTAGGCTTCAGTTCACTATGTAGCTTCATGTTCACTGTGTAGGCTTCATGTTCACTGTGTAGGCTTCATGTTCACTATGTAGGCTTCATGTTCACTATGTAGGCTTCATGTTCACTATGTAGGCTTCATGTTCACTATGTAGGCTTCATGTTCACTATGTTAGGCTTCATGGGTTTACTGTGTAGGCTTCATGTTCACTATGTAGGCTTCATGTTCACTGTGTAGGCTTCATGTTCACTGTGTAGGCTTCATGTTCACTATGTAGGCTTCATGTTCACTGTGTAGGCTTCATGTTCACTGTGTAGGCTTCATGTTCACTATGTAGGCTTCATGTTCACTGTGTAGGCTTCATATTCACTATGTAGGCTTCATGTTCACTGTGTAGGCTTCATGTTCACTGTGTAGGCTTCATGTTCACTATGTAGGCTTCATGTTCACTATGTAGGCTTCATGTTCACTGTGTAGGCTTCATGTTCACTGTGTAGGCTTCATGTTCACTGTGTAGGCTTCATGTTCACTGTGTAGGCTTCATGTTCACTGTGTATGCTTCATGTTCACTGTGTAGGCTTCATGTTCACTGTGTAGGCTTCATGTTCACTATGTAGGCTTCATGTTCACTGTGTAGGCTTCATGTTCACTATGTAGGCTTCATGTTCACTATGTATGCTTCATGTTCACTGTGTAGGCTTCATGTTCACTGTGTAGGCTTCATGTTCACTATGTAGGCTTCATGTTCACTGTGTAGGCTTCATGTTCACTGTGTAGGCTTCATGTTCACTATGTAGGCTTCATGTTCACTATGCAGGCTTCATGTTCACGGTGTAGGCTTCATGTTCACTATGTAGGCTTCATGTTCACTGTGTAGGCTTCATGTTCACTGTGTAGGCTTCATGTTCACTATGTAGGCTTCATGTTCACTATGCAGGCTTCATGTTCACTATGTAGGCTTCATGTTCACTATGTAGGCTTCATGTTCACTATGCAGGCTTCATGTTCACTATGTAGGCTTCATGTCCACTATGTAGGCTTCATCTTCACTGTGTAGGCTTCATGTTCACTATGTAGGCTTCATGTTCACTGTGTAGGCTTCATGTTCACTATGTAGGCTTCATGTTCACTGTGTAGGCTTCATGTTCACTATGTAGGCTTCATGTTCACTGTGTAGGCTTCATGTTCACTGTGTAGGCTTCATGTTCACTATGTAGGCTTCATGTTCACTGTGTAGGCTTCATGTTCACGGTGTAGGCTTCATGTTCACTATGTAGGCTTCATGTTCACTATGTAGGCTTCATGTTCACTGTGTAGGCTTCATGTTCACGGTGTAGGCTTCATGTTCACGGTGTAGGCTTCATGTTCACTATGTAGGCTTCATGTTCACTATGTAGGCTTCATGTTCACTGTGTAGGCTTCATGTTCACTATGTAGGCTTCATGTTCACTATGTAGGCTTCATGTTCACTGTGTAGGCTTCATGTTCACTATGTAGCCTTCATGTTCACTGTGTAGGCTTCATGTTCACTATGTAGGCTTCATGTTCACTGTGTAGGCTTCATGTTCACTGTGTAGGCTTCATGTTCACTGTCTAGGCTTCATGTTCACTATGTAGGCTTCATGTTCACTATGTAGGCTTCATGTTCACTGTGTAGGCTTCATGTTCACTATGTAGGCTTCATTTTCCCACTGTGTAGGCTTCATGTTCACTGTAGGCTTCATGTTCACTGTGTAGGCTTCATGTTCACTATGTAGGCTTCATGTTCACTATGTAGGCTTCATGTTCACTGTGTAGGCTTCATGTTCACTATGTAGGCTTCATGTTCACTGTGTAGGTTTCATGTTCACTATGTAGGCTTCATGTTCACTGTGTAGGCTTCATGTTCACTATGTAGGCTTCCTGTTCACTGTGTAGGCTTCATGTTCACTTCGTAGGCTTCATGTTCGCTATGTAGGCTTCACGTTCACTATGTAGGCTTCATGTTCACTATGTAGGCTTCATGTTCACTGTGTAGGCTTCATGTTCACTGTGTAGGCTTCATGTTCACTATGTAGGCTCCATGTTCGCTAGGTAGGCTTCATGTTCACTATGTAGGCTTCATGTTCACTGTGTAGGCTTCATGTTCACTATGTAGGCTTCATGTTCACTGTGTAGGCTTCATGTTCACTGTGTAGGCTTCATGTTCACTATGTAGGCTTCATGTTCACTGTGTAGGCTTCATGTTCACTATGTAGGCTTCATGTTCACTATGTAGGCTTCATGTTCACTGTGTAGGCTTCATGTTCACTATGTAGGCTTCATGTTCACTGTGTAGGCTTCATGTTCACTATGTAGGCTTCATGTTCACTATGTAGGCTTCATGTTCACGGTGTAGGCTTCATGTTCACTATGTAGGCTTCATGTTCACTATGTAGGCTTTATGTTCATGGTGTAGGCTTCATGTTCACTATGTAGGCTTCATGTTCACTATGTAGGCTTCATGTTCACTGTGTAGGCTTCATGTTCACTATGTAGGCTTCATGTTCACTATGTACATTGCAGAGTCACTTGTTTGCACAGAACTGCTTAATGCCTCAAATGATGTAGTGGAAGTTTTAGTAGTAAAGGTCGAGAACCAAAACCTAGTCATTGTGGTAGTCTACAAGCCTCCGGATGCAACATCCCAGCAATTCCAGGAACAGCTGTTAAAAATTGACCACTGTCTGGAAAATCTTCCAGCTCCTGCACCCAACATCTTGCTCCTGGGGGATTTCAACTTAAGGCACCTAAAATGGAGGAATATAGCAAATAATATTGTTGCAGTAATAACACCAGGAGGCAGCTCTGATGAAAACTCACACTCACGCGAGCTTTTAAATCTCTGCACAAAATTCAATTTAAACCAGCAAATAATAGAGCCTACTAGACTGGAGAATACACTAGACCTCATCTTCACTAACAATGATGATCTGATAAGAAATGTCACCATAAACAAAAACAATATACTCAGATCACAACATAATTGAGGTTCAGACATGTATGCGTGGAGCCCCAGACCGACAAAATGAGACTAGTCACGAGGGAGCATTCACCAAATTCAACTTCAATAACAAAAACATAAAGTGGGACCAAGTAAACCAAGTCCTAACCGATATAAGCTGGGAAGATATACTAAGCAACACAGACCCCAACTTATGCCTAGAACAGATTAACTTGGTGGCACTCGATGTATGCACAAGGCTTATTCCTCTAAGAAAAAGGAGGAGTAGATGTAAAATAGAAAGAGACAGGTGCTCCCTTTACAGGCGAAGGAAAAGAATAACAGATTTTAGATTTTAGATTTTGCCACCGAAGTGGCTAGTTTATTGTGCGCCCCATATCCATCCTGTGGACGGTAGCGCGAGAGCATATGGATACACAAAAGGCCTAGGAACTAGGCCCCAAAGGGTTAACAGGAATACATATGGATTTATATCTACATATCTATAGTTCACTTATCTGTTACAAGCAAATTTAGGAAATTTGCTTAGTATATCTGGTATCTTATTTTCATTAATAAGATGTCTTGACATGTCACATAGGTTATTATACTGTCTGTCTCTGTATTCCTCAATAAGTGAACAATTAAGCACATTGTGTTCAAGAGAGTGACCATATGCCTGATCACATAATTTACATTTAGTTTGATCATCATCTGTGAGTCTCCCAAACTGCCAGAAGTACTTGTAACCAAGCCTAAGCCTGGCCACTACAACATCAGTCAGTACTTGTAACCAAGCCTAAGCCTGGCCACTACAACATCAGTCAGTACTTGTAACCAAGCCTAAGCCTGGCCACTACAACATCAGTCAGTACTTGTAACCAAGCCTAAGCCTGGCCACTACAACATCAGTCAGTCTGTTCACATTGGAAGTTGCTCCATAAAACATACTTATCTACGTTCATGTTATCATAGTGGGTTATAGATCTACTCAGGCTTCTAACTGCATTCCTAAAAACAGTCATTTCATTATTTACTTCTCTCCTAATATTATTCCTAATGCTAGACACAGTTATACCAAAGTTATATTCACATTCTCCTTCTGGGTACTCTTCTTGGCTAACATATCAACTTTATCATGAAGGAGTAATCCAATGTGTGATGGGATCCATAGCAATTGTACATTAATTCCTTTGTCCCTAATTTTTGAGTATCTATACCTGGCTTCCCCAATGAGCATGTTGCTGGAGTCATTATATGAGCCAAGAGCCTTCAATGATGACATAGAATCAGTAATGATGATAGAGTCAAGCTCAGTGTCATAGGTTAGCTTTAGCGCCATTAGGATTGCAAACAATTCAGTTTGCAGTGTAGACGCCCAGTTGTTAATTCTTATGCCTAACTCAACA